TTTAATGATAAAACCAAACCAACAACGAAAATTTATACATCAACAAAGCATATCAAAAGTTGTGAGTTTTTAAGAATCGCTTTTATATATATTTTTATATATGAATAATAAAATGAACAATCAATCACACACGATAAGCACATATACAAAACATACAAATCTGTATATACATACCAATCTATTAAAAGAAAATATTATTTAAATAAGGATGAGTTCAAACAAAGATATATTATCTAATAAAAGAACAAAAAGCATGCAAACGATGTAAACAGGCTGTATGTGCATTAGGGTATATAGGTGTAATGTGTAAGTCTGTTCCGTTTATGTTGTTCAGTAGAGTCTTGTGTTGTTAGTAACCACCGTAAAAGATATATCTCTGAACTACACCAAGCCAACCCAGTCATACTCCAGAAAACCATGATGGATTAAACACCTATGCATGGATTTATAACTGACTTATGACTGAAAAGCGAGCCCAGGCATCCTCCAGAGACAAACATCCTCTTTCGCGGTGACAGTAGTTGTGATATGGAAAATAGTCGTGCTCGATGACCGTAACACTAACCCTTATGGGCTAGTCCCAATATTATTTAAAAACTTTGGCATATAAAATTCGCCAAATGGTCACACACGAGCAGTGAACACCTGAGGGAAGAAATGAAGTATATTAGAATAAAGAAGAATTATTTATCGAACGAAGCATATTTTGACAGTTGTCAAGACAAAAATAAAGATTAATGGAGGAAAATTTCAAAACAAGTAAGACAGACAACACATCCAAGCAGTACTCACAATAACAATAACAAAAAATTGTATCATAAAAAAAACTAGTACATACGAAGATATACAACAAATATAACCAAAATAATTTTTTTTTTAAAACCAAAAAATTGATAAACAAAAAACTTAAAAATAAAAAACAAAAACAAAAAATATAAAAAACAAAAACAAAAAATATGGATAGCAATGTAAGGCCTTAGAATGGAAAAAGAACATTAATGCTAATGTGTAAACATAATTATGTAGTGATAAAGTAATAAACATCTCCTCAGAGTCACGTCTATTATTACAGGCGTTTCGATGAGGATCAGCACTTATAACTAGTTTATCCCGTCAGACAAACGTCATCGCCACTTGTGCTTTACCCCGCGACTTACGTCTTATTCATACTGCAGTAAAAAAGGACTCACTACAAATAGCCAAAACCCCACCAACCCAAAATTTGTAAAACACTAATGTTTTTTAAAAATATGATATGAAAAGTGTAGATAAACTGTAAAAAATAAATAAAAATAACTAAATAAATCACTTACCATACCACCGAAAGAAAACATGAAAGCACAATAAATTAAAATTCTAATCGAAAAATAAAAATATAAATAAATTCAATTTAAGATCTAAAACCAGATAGGTATTAATAGCATAAATAATCCAAAGATAAACAGAAATCAGAATACCTCATTAAAAAAAAAATTTTTTTAATCAACAAAACAACAATAGCCTTAAATAAACTCTAACGCTGTCATAGATACCTCGTTCGAAATGTGATAACCAATCAAAAGTGAAGGAAAATGAAAAACCCGCGAAACCTAGAATCATAACAATGATAGAACAATGTGTGGTTGCGAAAAAATTGTCGCACAAAGACCTTAATAAAGTAACCGGCATAAATGTAGACATTAAATGAAGGATATAAAAAATTCCTCTGAATAATAATAAAAGATGAAAATTGTGCATATGAAAATTCAAATAAAGTTGAGTAATCAATGCAAGATAATAAATCATAAAAATTCATAATAAACAGTAATAATATGAAAATCAGCAGATAAATAATATATTAATGAATATTGCAATAAGAAAAACTAAATACTATAACAAAGCCAGATAAATTTAAAATAAATGAGTGGTTAAAAATTTATTTTGGGCGATGTAACAGTGATATAAGTTGCGATATAAAAACGATATACGAAGCGGGAAAAAATATTGCAAAAAAGTAAAGTTTTCTCTACGGTCCGAATTACAAGTAACTTTGAGACCATTTCTAAATCGAAATAATCGAAAAGTAAAATTTCCTCTACGGTCTGAATTACAAGTAACTTTGAGACCATTTCTAAATCAAAATATGCGAGAAGTAAAGTAATTTTGAGACCATAACAAACGCCTGATAAAATTTTATTAAAAAACTAGTAAATTATAAATAAAACTATAAGGTAAACCAATAATAGTATGTAAATAGTAACAATTAGGAAATGAAACTTAGTAAAGAAAAAATCGATTTTTTATTTATGTTTTTTTATGCGCCGTCTGGATTAGAAATTTCTTGATCGATTTGATGTTTTTGAAACTCGCAATAGGTGGAGTTGGCCATATATTTTTAAGATCAGTATCCTGTTCAACAATATTCCAGTGCTTTTTAACTATTTTATTTATGAGTTTTCCAACTTTTCCAAATGTTGTAACCATCGGTAAAATTTTCTCTTTCTCTCTTTCTTCTTTATATTTGTTGTTGATAAGTTCGTGTTGTGTATGTCGCAGTGCTTGTTTAAAACCTTTGTTAATAGATTGAATAGGGTAGCCTCGTATAACTAAAATTTGTGCTAATTGTTTTAACTCTTTTATTAGGTTGTAATTGTTGGATATAATCTTGTTGTATCTTAACGCTTGGCTATATATTAAATTGCTTTTTTGATGAGGGGGATGGAATGAATTATAATGCAATAGTGCTGTTGTATCAGTTGCCTTTTTGTATATTGTTGTTTCTAACTGTCCATCTAGCTTTTTGTTAATTGTTAAATCCATGAAATTAATAGAAGTGGTAGAATTATTGAAAGTAAATTTGATCGTTGGGTGGATGGCATTCATAAATTCGAAAACTTGTGTTAGTATCTCCGGAGGCCCATGAAAAATAAAAAATATATCATCTATAAAACGTTTATAAAAAGAAATCCACATTGAAAATTGGTCATTTATTTTCTCATCAATTCTTCCCATAAATAGATTAGCATAGGGTGGAGCCATACGTGTCCCCATGGACACATCCATCACAAGAATGATGCTCTGAGCTGGCATAAAAAGTCTGCATCAAATCTTAGTAGTAATAAAGCATGGGGGATATGATTTTTTTAAACACCCTTTTGAGCAGAAATAAAGTATGCACCACCAGCACCCTGTGTTAATTAACCAAAGTTTACCTACGTTAATTTACCAAGGCTTTCTCTAAAGGATCAGTTGAAAAATCATCAAACATAATGAATTGATGATCTCAATTAGTAGAAAGCTAGTAAAGTCTATTTAAACTTCTCAAAGTTTGAGATATTGCATCTGCTATTGTCAATGTTAATGTTTTTATTATATTTTTACGATTTTTTGCATCAGTGTTTTGGCACATTCCTGTTCCTTTCAATAAATTTTGTAGGCAATATTTAGCACTTTGAATGACAGCTCGCAAAGGATCTCACAATCTTGCATCATCAGTTCTCCAACAGTGGCACTTCTCATCGCAAATGATTCTTCTTGTAAAACTTTTAAAACCCATATAAAATGCTGTATATGTTGAATCACTTTTAATTTGAAGAGGAAATCTTAGAGAGTATTATGAATATAAAATTAGTCACATTTTTACAACATAAAGTAGAATGAAATTCTAAAAGTCATTTAAATATAAAAACTGTGATAACAATGACTGTTATTAAAGTATTATTAATATCATTATTATGATATATATTTTCATAAAATAAAGAATTTTTATTTCATTCTACTTTATGACATGAAAAAAATTGGTCTGCATACAATATATTATCATAAAAACTAAAAGGTTAGTTAATGAGAATGTTCCTCACTGTGTCACTCCAGTTCCTTGAATAAATACTTTTCATTGTAAGACAATGTCATCATTACATGTGTAACTTAAAAGTGGTAGTTCAGTTTCAACCTTCATTATGTCACTGAATTCTAAGTTATCTGCCTCATTAAAGCTGTTAATTACATCGTCTTGTAATTTCGTTGATTTCTTACTTTTAAGTTTTTTTGTCTTGTTATACGTGGTTTTGCTAGTGCTTTTGGAATTTGACTATAATTAATGTTATGAAATATTGCTGGAGGTCCATTGTAGTTCTTATTCTTTTTTCATAGTTAGATAAGCATGAAGTAACTCTACACTTTAGAGGCAAAGTGCATTCACTATTTTTTAAAAAAATATTTCAGGTGATTTATTTTCAGGTTTCCATTAAAAAATCAGTCTCCAGTCTTTTTGTTTGATTGCGTGATTGCAAGGTCTTTTGTAAAGATAACCTTGCATCAGATTGTATTGTCATTTAAATTAAATGAAAAAAAAAACTAACAACATTGCTCCTCTCTTATCACATTGATTAGTTTAATAATTTTTTATTTTTACTGAGGTATATATTTTACATTTGTGTATACTTTAGTTTGTATCTTTTTTCTGAAAGATATACTTTCATAAGATTTGCAATTAACAAATATTAAAATTAACACAAATGCTAACATCATTCTCTTTCAGATTTAAAAAAGTAATACAAACAAAGTTTATTTTTTTATTGGGGAACACAAGCTTCACCCTGTTATATTTTTTGGTAAACAAATAAGTGTCGGGTACCAGTATATTAGATAGTATGATTAATATAGTAACAGATTTGCAGACAAACAAATATTGTTTATTAAGTAACATATTATGAAGAAAAACTTTCAAAAATGATATCATTCAATGATAAAAATGTTTTATGACATCAATGGGTAAAAAATATTACTTATTTTTAAAAGCATTCAGTGTCCATCTTTTAAGATCCTTTGCTTTTACTTTTTAAAATTGTGTTAACTGTTTACACTGCTTTTATAATAAATTTATTTCATATAATTAAATATTTTATGCAATACATGTTCTGAAAAATAATATTGAAAAACATTTTATACCTAATTATCAAAATGCATAAATTATATGTTGTAATTAATATATATTATAATAAGTAATTTAATTTGTTTAGAACTTCTAACAAAACTGAATGAATTTGATGCAAATCTGACAAAAACTAAAGTGAGTAAAATATCCAGAGTAATAAAAACATGAAGCATCATTTTTTTTATAATTATATTTTTTTTAATTAGTTTTTGGATATGTATTTTTTATTAATATAAATTTAATTAACTTTTAATTGTTCAATAACAATTTTTGAAAAATATAAATTCTGAATAATATATACTCTAAATGCTATATACAATTTTTGATTTAAAAAAAAATCTCCTCATTAGCATTTAGAATATATCTAAGTATAAATTTATATAGAGTAAGAATTCTTATCTTTTTAATACTGTGTAGTAATGTGTATAAAAAATTTTATGTGTTTTCTCATGGTATTATTCAATTATATAAGTAAAATATTTATTCAAAATGGCACTTTTAATACATACTCGTTTATAAGGCTTATCTGCCTTGCAAAAAAGTGTCATGATAGCTTGTCAGAAAGATAATATTTAAATTTATTCAATATATAAAAATTATCAATTATCATACATTTATTATTAATTTGTCATGTTATTATTTTTAATTATTTTTAATGAATAATCATTTTTTTATTAGCAACATTTCACTGTGTTTTTGCGAACACAGGAAAATGTTTTTGTAAATTTCTTTTTATAGCAATTACATATTGTGTTTTGATAAAATATGAATTAGAAATTGTAGTAAAAAAAACATTTGAAAATTAATATTTTTTTTACAAACCTTTATAGCATGAAGCTCACAATCGTTTTAATGCCTTAGATACAGACTATAAAATGTTAAAGGTAATAGTTTGAAATACCATTTATAATATTTGTGTTATTATCTTTTTAAAATAAATATATTTAAAATAATGTATAATAAAATTATTAAAAAAATTCATTTCACTAAAAGTAATATAATATAAAATTGTATAGAATATACATAATTATAAACCAAACCAATTTTAATAATCAAATTTGAAAACCAAAAATAATTGAATTTGTCTACCAAAATGTGCCAATCCAAATCTATATACCCAATACAAATTTAAATACAAAATATACTTAGTTTCTAATTTTTAGAAAGTAAATTATTAAATTTTTAGCTCACAATGTTAAAATTGTATCCTACTTGCAAGTGTGCTGTGCAAGTAGAGCCTGTAATATTATCAGATAATAAGTTTTACTTAATGTTTTACGAACAAGCAATCAGAGAAATTGAATCATAATTAACTTTTAAACAAGATACTGTTTTTTTCCTAAGCTATCAGATTTTTAGAATAAACAAAAACAATTTTTATATTTAAAAAAATTAAAGTTTCATATTTAAAGTTATTTCTATAATTATCTTTATAAAATTCAAAGATTTGAGATATCTTTTTTGAAATGTGGTTTTTCAATGTTCATTTGAGATGGTTTTTTTTTTTTAATGTTCTTTATTATTTGATTTTTATTTCACAAATAAATCATTGAGCAAAGGTTTACTTTGAGCTTAAAAACTTCCATATATATCTATATAGCTCAATTAAGATTATCTATATATTATATAGATGAAGCTAAATGAAAATTTACCTTAAAAAAACCTTATTTAAGGTCACCCCCAATAAGTGACACTTTAGCTATTTTTATAAAAATTTAGCTATTTATAAATATTTACATTGAATAAAAAAACAAGTATTTTTAGTTGATGTTTTTTATTTTGTAATTAATTTTTTATGAGCCTGAAAAAATAAAAAAAAGTTAAAATCAAAATTTTAATTTTTAGGCAAATTATGATGAAATCCAAGAAAATCATGCTGCCCTTCAGCAACAATATGTTCGATTAAGTGAGGACCATAAGCATGTTGCTAGTGAAGCAAAATTAGATTATGATAAATTACGAGATGCAAAAGAGGCAGAATCAATTAGTTTGCAAAGTAAATTTTTTTTTTTTATAAATCCTCTTCCCAGTTTAATTTATAAAGGTCTGATTAACCAATTAAATTGATTACAGATCGAATTCAAGATCTTTTCAATGGTAAGATTTATTATCAAGAAAAAGCCAAACAAAATCAAGAGTATTATGAAAACACAATGGTCAGTTTTTTTCTATAATTATTTTTTATTTGTGATTTTTCACACAATTTTATGTTTCACTTTTTTTTCTAGAAAAAATATGAGGAAATAAAAAAACTTTCACTGGAATATACAGACAGAATAGAACAATATCAGCAAGAAATTAAGAATTTAAAAGTATCTTTTTTAAAATTTTATAAGTAAAGTTTATATATATATATATATATATATATATATATATATATATATATATATATATATATATATATATATATATATATATATATATATATATATATATATATATATATATATATATATATATATATATATATATATATATATATATATATATATATATATATATATATATATATATATATATATATATATATATATATATATATATATATATATATATATATATATATATATTATATATATATATATATATATATATATATATATATATATATATATATATATATATATATATATATATATATATATATATATATATATATATATATATATATATATATATATATATATATATATATATATATATATATATATATATATATATATATATATATATATATATATATAGTTATATACAGTGTTTAAAGCAGAGTTTTTAACAAGTCCAAAAGTAGCAAGGCCGAGGCCATATGTTACAAGGCCAAGACCAAGACCAAAAGTTACAAGGTCAAGGGCACATGTTACAAGGCCAAGAATAAAAGTTTCAAGACCAACAAATATGCAAACATTTTTAAGGCCAAAGACTTAAATTTTTGATTTACGTTAATAAAGTAATTACGTAAAATAAAAAATGATTAATTACGTAATTAATTATGTAAAATAAAGAATGAAAACTTTTAATTCTTTAATTTTATGTATTTTATTACAAAACAATCAAGGTCAAGGCCAATGCCAAGGACTAACAACTCTGGCTCGAAGTAAAGAAAAAAAGTAACGGGATAGTATTCAGTAAATATATTATATATATAAATATATTATATATATATAAATATATATATATATACATAAATATATATATACATAAATAAATAAATATATATATATATATAAATATATTATATATATATATATATATATATATATATACATATATATATATATATATCTATCTATCTATCTATCTATCTATCTATATATATATATATATATATATATATATATATATATATATATATATATATATATATATATATATATATATATATATATATATATATATATATATATATATATATACACATAGATACACACTGTCCTCTAAAACATTAGCAACCACACACAAAAAAAAAGTTTTTCAACTTCAATTACTAATTACAGTAGTTTTTTTAAATTTTGTTATAAATAAAAAAAATGGTAAATATTATATATAAGAAAAAAGATTTGTACATAAAAAGACTACTTGAAAATGAATAAACATCTTTTTGCTTAAATTGGAATTTTAATGCAAAAATGTGGTCTTCCAAAGCATTAGTAACTTTTTATAACTACTCTAAAAAGTACTAAAATCAATAGTTAATGGCATATTCTTTACTTTTTAGGATCACGGAACATTTTCTTGACATGGATTCTATGAGTTTATTAATTTTTTCTTGAGTAATCTTCTTCCATGTGGTTTCAATAGCTTTATATAGCTCATCAGCCTTGTTTTTTAGGGAAAGTTCAAATTGGTACCATAAATTTTCAATTGGTTTGAGATCAGGTGATTGAGCTGGCCATTTCATTACTTTAATTTGATTTGTTTCAAATCATTCTTTAATGAGTTTAAAGGCATGTTTAGGGTTGTTGTCTTGTTGAAATGTCCATTAAAGAGGTTATTATCAGCATGAGATTATTATCAGCATGAGGAACTATTTTTTCCTTGAGAGTATCGCAATAAATATATTGATCCATAATGCCATTTATTCTGTAAATAGGTCCGACTCCACTAAAACTAGAAAAATAACCCCAAGCCATTGCACTTTTTTTACCACTACGTTTGATTGTTCCTCGTGTATTTAGAATCTAAGCGTTTATGTTTAGGCCACATACCTTTATTGCCATTAATACCTTTCAAATTTTACTTTGATTCATTGCTCCACATTATTCTATTCCAATCATTTATAGTCCAGTCTCTATGAGCATTTGCAAATTCAATTCTAGCTTTTTGAGTCTTCTGAGAACAAAAACAATTTTTTTGCTGCTCTTAAGTTTAAAAGTCCTTAAAGTTGCAACTGTCTAAAAACTGTATTTTGAGAAAGGAAAAAGTTTTTTAATAATATCATTAGCTGTCGAAAGGATTCTTTTTAACATGACATTATTTTTCTGTTAGTGAAACGATATGTTTTGCATGGTCTTCCGCCTTTATGTTCTGAAAATCCTATGCTTAAAAATAACAAATAAAATGGCGCAATTGATGATGTGAAATAGAAAGTATACATGATTATTAACTACTGTATATATTATGTTAAAAAAATGCACTATAACATTATCAAAGTTCTCAATTATGGATATACAATACGATATTTAATGCTACGTAACAGGACTGTAAATAAGCCTCAAAACACATTTATACAACTCTTACAACATAACCATGCTGTGGTATGATAAAATGATATTTTTTAATAACATTTTATCATACCACAGCATGGTTATAGTGTTGTAAGGGTTCCAAAACATGACTTGAAGAGAATATTTGATTGTCTTGATAATACAATTTTTATAGAGTTTTTCATTGGAAGCCTTATTTATATATTGAGCCTTTTGAGTCACGATTTCTATGGCAGACTCATTGTTGAAACATACCTGAAGTAAACATAATAAAAACAATCACTAAATACAAACACTGGATAATTAGGAAAAAAAACTTTATTTTTGTAATATATTGACTTGCTGATTTCCAGTTATCAACAGTGAAACTATTGTACTTCTTTGCCAATCTAGACACTTTTTTCTCTTAGAATTTGTAAATTATTTTTATTTCTTGCTGATCTTCTACTTCTGATGCCCAATCCATGCAAACTTCCAAAACAGTGATTGTTGTTACATTTAGTCCCATCTCATTCAACTTGCTGGTAATTGCTAAGTATGTAGCAAATCTAATTTCTTTCACTATTTTCACAAGCTTTCTCTCATTCCTTGGTGTTATTTTCTTTTTCTAACCACATTTGGCTGCCACTAAATATCTAATGGGAGGCCATTTTTCAATTTATTTTTGATTTGGTTCACAGTGCATCTTGTTATCTCACATTTTCTTGATATTTGATTTATTAAGTAATGCTTATTGTTCAGAAGGTATTAAATAGTTTTTTTTCAGAACTGGTATTTTCTTTTTTCCCCATTTTGTTATTTAGAACTTTTTTTTTACTAAAATATTTTTTTAAAGCAGATAAAAATTGTTTTTTTGTAGTAAATAATAAAACAAAGTATACAAAATGTGTAAATATTGTTTAAAAATAGTTCAAAGTATATTATAATATAAATCTTATCTAATTAAATCACAATCGTTAACAAAAATTTTAACTGCATTTAAAGAAAACACAGTAAAATAGCACAAATGAAAAAACACAAATGTCATAAATTAAGCAGATGCCAATTATCCCCCTGAAATTTTTGACACCTTAAAAATAGTTTTATATTGCTAATAGCCTGAAAGTGTTAAGTTATAAACTAATAGACAAAAATTGTCTACAAAATTTACAGATTTCTCAGTGTAAAACTTGTTTAGCTTAACTCAATTGTCAATCCAGAACATGTTTTATTAAATACAGATGCAAAAAGATATGTAGCCAAAACAAAATTACAAATTAGAACTTGAACTCAACAAGTTCTAAAAAGTTTAAACAAGAGGAAACATCAGTCTACAATGCCACCCAAAGTAAACATATGAAAAGAATTTGATCAAAAAGTGCATGAAGATTTTGAAATACAGAGGCATCAATGTTTCCCTTTAAATGACCGAATTAGTTATGATAATAGGTAGTTTGTTAAAACAAAATATTGGACTTCAGTTTTTACATTTTTCCCTAAAATAGAAAGAAGCCCTTCAACTGCTGATGTCAGTTAATATTAAACTGTTTTTTAATATTCAGAAAAAATTTTGTTCAATTTTACTAGCTGATGATAATGATTTTAAAATAACACAATATTTTTTATTCTTGACATGTTTTGTAATAATAATTTGTAATAAAATTTTCAAAATTTAAGATTCAATGGGTGTTCATCTTGTGCAAATTTCTTCTGCGATTTCTGAGTTTAAAATTAAATAAATTTACGATTTAATTTCAGACTCTGAAATTAAATTGTACTTTGATTAGAAAATGAACAATTCTTTTTCTAACTTGGTTAACAACTCAAATATAAGACTGCACAAAAAATAACGGTCAACAGTCAACTTCCACTCGAAAATAACGGTCAAAAGTCAACTTTCCCTCGAAACGATCAGAATTGATGTTTTGATTTTCCAAAATGAGTTTTTGTCATTCAAGGTTGCTAAAAAAAATCTGAGTTTTTAAAAAATAATTTTTTACAAACAATTAGGATGTATTTCAAAAATACTAAATATTTATAATATCTATTGGCTATTTTTCATAAAGATTTATTTGAACAAAAAACAATAATAATAAATTAATCAATGATATATTCTCCGTTACTGTTTACAACCTCCTCCCATCTCTCTACCAATTTGTTGATGCTGTTTCGCCAAAAATCGGTCGGTCTGGAGTTGTTGAGCCAGTTTTTAAGATTCTCTTCGCCATCAAAGGTAACACCCCTCATTTGGTTTGATAGTGAGCGGAAAAGGTGATAATCGGTAGGTGCAAGATCCGGATAGTACGGTAGATGCTGAAGAACCTCCCATTCAAGCTCTTGGAGTGCTGTTTTGACGACTTGAGCAATATGGGGCTTGGCATTATCGTGGAGCAAGATGACTTGATCTTGTCTATTGGGTTTTTTCAGTCAAATAGCCTTATTTACACCGTTCAGCTGGGCAATGTAGACCTCCTTGTTGACTGGCGTTTCGTTCGAGCATTTGCCAGTGCACCATGCCTTCCCAGTCCCACCAAACCCAGATCATGGCCTTTTTTGGGTGAAGATCTTGCTTGACTCTCAGCTTCGGCGTCTCTCCTGGGGCCACCCACTCCTTGTTTTGCTTCACATTGACGTACAGACATCGTTTCTCATCTCCCGTGATGATTTGATACAAAAAACGCTGTTTTTGTCCATGTGTTGCTCGGTGAGTAAAACCAATTGATTGAAGGTGGCGAGAGATTGTCATTGCACTGATGTTCATTTTTTCAGCCAATTCACGAGTTGTTTGGCGACCATCTTCCTTCAATAGTGCCTTCAGATGCTCTTCGTCGAATTCTGCAGGTCGTCCTCTTCGAGGCGTGTCTTCAAGGTCAAAGTCGCCATTTTTAAACTTTGCAAACTATTTTTGTGCAGTAGACACACCTAAGATACCTTCCCCGTACACACTGCATATGTCCCAAGCGGCTTTGGCTGCTTTTTGACCTCGATGAAAAGCAAAGAAAAGCAGATGTCAAAAATGCTGATTTTTTCCTCCTGGGTATTCCATTTCTGAGCCAGAAAAAAGACGAACAATTAAGTTATCCAAAAAAACAAATAAAACCGTATAAAAAAAAACAAATAAAACAAGAAAGAGCTTTTTCGAATGAATGTATACACTTTGCTAAAAAACAAAACAAATTGTTGTAAAATACCTCTAACGCAAAACTCTACGAACTTATGTTACAACCCAATAAAATATTTTTATTTTCATATATCTGCTACATCTTTTTTTTTACACATTTTTTGTTTCACTTCATGGTAAAATCAATAGTTGTCTTGTGAAGTTGTTGCAATGAAGGATTGTTATTACCTCCTTTAATTAGCAAATAAATATTCTTCTAATTTGACTATTGAATCTTATGGCCATACTCTTTTTTCCATTCCAGTTAAATAGGTTGACATATTTTTAGACCTTTAAATCACTCCACCTTCTGTTGCTTAAGTCATATCTCAATTAAACTCTTCTATGGCTTGTGGTCGAGACAACATTCCTGTCTTACAAAAGTGTTTTCCAGAACTCTCTTCAGTTCTCTCTAAATTATTTAATAAGTGCTTGAATGAATCTTATTTTCCTGGATACTAGATAATGGCATCTGCGGTTCCAATTTTTAAAAACTCTGGTGAACATTCTGATTCAAGATAGAATATTATAAATTTTGGTGAATTTCTAACATTCCATCTTGAGTCAAATAACTTACTGTCAATATGGTTTTTTCTTCTTTTTGCCACACTTCTTTATTTTTCCGTAACTTCTGGGGTGCCTCAAGTTTCTATCCTTGGTCCTGTTTTTTTTTTCTTTTTCTACATCAATGATCTTTCTGATAACCTTTCAACTAGCTCTATTTGCAGATGATTTTTCCCTGCACTTTAACTCTTTGGAATTCTCTCCTATCTTTATGTTTCTCTGACTCATCCAACATTCAACTTTTCAAGTCTTTTCTCAACCGTTTCATTGCTCTTTAACTCTATTCTTTGATTTCTAGTAACTTCTAACTTGATAGTGGCTACTTGCAGCCTTGTTGGATGTGAAACTGAATAATAATAAAAAAGAGGTCATGAATAAAAAATATCATAAGTAACAAGTTGTTGAAGAGAAGAATTAGATGCGTTTTTTACTAATTTATATATATATATATATATATATATATATATATATATATATATATATATATATATACATGTAGTAATATTATGTCTTATATACATTTTTTTTTGTTCTAGGAAAATCTTCATACATGTCGTTTAAGTGGATCTTTAACAAATAGAAATCAGAGTATGATCTTAATTATACTTTTTGATATTTTGTTTGATTATTATATACATATGTTTATATATATATATATATATATATATATATATATATATATATATATATATATATATATATATATATATATATATATATATATATATATATATTAGGGTGGTCCTTATAGGAGGTTGAAAATTTATTTTGGAAAAAATTTGGCGGGCGCCCCTCAAAATGTTTCCATTCGGTGTAAAAACACTTGCTTTTAATTATTGTTGAATTTTATTAACATTTAGGGTATGCTCAATTTAAACAAACTTTCGCATATAGCAGTCACTCAGTCTCAGTGTTCAACGCAGTAAAGTGACATGAATGTTTTTCAAATGTAAGATATTTGTATAACATAATGTTCTGAAAGCAACTCACTTAGTCATCTTCCAAACTAAATTATGTCTTCAGGCTTTCCACAACTGCTACTTTGCTTATTTCTGGTAACTTCTTTCTATGCTCAGCCACTACTTGAAGGATGAATTGCGTCTGCTCTTCAGATTTTGTCCGGAGTCCGCTATACTCCTGAATGAGGGCGACACCTCGCTCTGCAGTGTCGTTAGTAACTCGAAGTTTACCAACAAATGTCTGTGCTTCAGTAAAGGCAGGCAGATCACGCCAGATGGCAGGATCTTCATCGAAGAAGCTGGTTGAAATGTTCAGAGCACTAAAGAACTTCTTTGTATTTGTTGTCACGAAGTCAGGTATCTCCTTTTCTCTTATATCTTGGTCTAATAGAGAGATGCGTTTGGCTGGTTCTTGTACTCCAGGGTTGTCCAACGCCTTGACCATCTTTCTCTTGTCTTCAACAGAAATGGAATCGTCAAAAAAAAAAAGCCTACGAGTACTTCCGACAAGTACCAACGGTGTCCTTTTAACTTCTTCAAGGCAGCAAGCGATGTACAGTTTCCAGAAGCCAACAATTCCTTACAGAGCAGAAGGTCGTTCTTTGGAGCTGAGATTCCAAGACGAGAAGAAAACCAGCCTCTTATGTAGAACTTCACTGCAAACACACAGAGATCCTTGAGTCCATTGAGCTCACAGTCAGTAAGATGAAATCCACTGTTTCTGAAGATAAATATCTTCATGCTGTAAATGAGACGTGACATGAATCTGGCTCTGTGCATCGCTCCTGGTTTCATGAATCTGACACCTCTCGGAGGAACGCCTCCCAAGAAAATAATTGTTATTTCAAGGAGCTCTCTGTAATCGTCTCTGGGGTGTTCCGTGTGTAGCTGCTCAGTGGCATAGGAAAGAGTCCTCTGCCTGGTTTCCGAATCAAGTTGAGCCATTACAGCGTCATCCTGGATCCCTGCATGAAAGTCAGCAGTTTGAATGTTTGGCCAGAACTGTTTAAACCTCTTGAATAATTGTATCTCGGGTGATGATGAAGGGCTGATGCATAAGGAAAACACTTCCTCGAGCATAATCTCATGGATGTGGTGGCGGCATGCTAAGTACAGTACATCATGGCCGAGTTTTCCCTCCAGAAGAACACACGCTCCATTACGTCGCCCAGTGTTAGCCGCTGTTGTGTCAAAACTAAAGGCCTTAATATCGTCTTTGATCTTCCAATCATCAATTATCTGGACAATGGCGTCGCATATGGCATGTCCTGTTCCCGATGAAAGCTTAGGAACAGCTAGAAGCTGGTCAACACCATCAGAAGAAACAACAATCGGCAATCTGTCTACTTTTTCATCTCCTGTCAAATCTTTCATCAGCTTTCCATCCCAGTGGATAGTTAAAGGCTTTCCGTGACTTTGAAACTCTACTTTCAGTTCCTTTGATCTCAGTTCTCGATGCTTCAGCCGGTACCTGCGAACGGAAGATCGGTTCACAGCAAATTCTGCCGCGTTCTGGCCTGTTGCAGAAATAACGGATGCCAAAGTGTGAACAGCATGCCTGTCACTGATCCCAGCTCTGTCAAGGGAACCAAGAACTTCCGGTGTAAGGATGTTTTTTCTCCCGCGTTTTCGAAGGCATGGATTTGGACTGGTAAGGCTTGATGTCGAAGGTCCTGAGAAATCTGCATCCTGTGATTCGTTGGAAGAGGTGTCTTCCAGCACAGCCGTGTCAAACATTTTCCTTTTCGCTTCCTCACTAACATCTTTTCTCTTCTTCATTTGGTTATCTCGTTTTTCTTTCTCCTTTTCCTTATTCTCCAAGTTCTTGTCCAATCCTGCCATAGATCCTCGCCTACCAGGTTCCCGTTGAGCAAGCAAAAATTGCTTATCTTCTTCAATGTTTATCATTTGCAGAGCATCGCCATGAGAAATATCAAACAGATTCGGAAACTCAGCAATAAAAGCTTCTTCATTCCTCTTCTGTGTTTCAGTTTTTCTGTTTTTGTTTTTCTTAAGGTTATCCCAAGTCAGAACCAAATCTTCCAACTTCTTTATTGCTCTTCGTTCATCCCGGACTGGTATTCTTGCACGGCTCCAGTACGTGAAGAGTTGTCGAATTGTTTCTTTGGCAGCTGAATGCTTCGTTTCTTCAACGACCTTCAGATGGTAAAAAACACACCAAGGACGTCCTGTATTGATGGCAATTTAGCGCCTGTAAACTCTTCTTTCACTGTCCCAAGTAAATATATCTCAGACTGCTTCCTTGTCGATACTACCATGGCAACTTTATTAATTAATTTCTATAACACAAATAAAAAACACATGTTCACAAGCAACTAGTATAGACAAAAGCACGTTAAAGTAAGCAACAAAGGAGATCAGGCTAAAACAAACCCTGCCACAGTCGGTACGGTGGTCCTTATTTCATACTTTTGGCATTATGGCGTGGCTGGACAGCTCGGGCACATACACCAAAATTCCGGGTCATTGAGCATACCCTAAATATTATTTAATTGTAAAAATCTTTCAGGGTATTTTGTTTTTGAACAATTGGATCCCTCCTAGGGGGCGCCCGTATTAAAATTCAAAAGTTGTAAAATAAGGACCACCCTAATATATATATATATATATATATATATATATATATATATATATATATATATATATATATATATATATATATATATATATATATATATATATATATATATATATATATATATATATATATATATATATATATATATATATATTTATTAGGGTATCCCAAAAAACAACATTTTTGAAAATAATCTGCTCTCACCCCCTAAATGTGTTCTATCTAATACAAAAACACTAGGTTTAAATTTTTTTTGAGTAAAAAATATTTTAAGGGGCCCCTCAAGACCCTCGAATATTTAATGGGTCCCTAATATTTTCGAAAAAATAGTTTTTCAAAAATATGTCAACCTGGTACTCATATGAAGCGAAATTATATAAATATTTCAAAAATAATATTCATTTCAAAATATTTTTAACTTATTTATCAAAATTATCATAGAAAAAACATTAGAAATGCATTTTTTTCATTTTTTCTTAAAAAACGCAATTTTTTATGTATCAAAACTAAAATAACAATTTTGTTTTGAAATGAATATTATTTTTAAAATTTTTATAGAGAGCAGATTATTTTCAAAAATGTTGTTTTTTGGGACACCCTAATATATATATATATATATATATATATATATATATATATATATATATATATATATATATATATATATATATATATATATATATATATATATATATATATATATATATATATATATATATATATATATATATATATATATATATATATATATATATATACATATATATATATATATATATATATATATTTATATCTATACATATATATATATATATATATATATATATATATATATATATATATATATATATATATATATATATATATATATATATATATATATATATATATATATATATATATATATATATATATGTATATATATATATATATATATATATATATATATATATATATATATATATATATATATATATATATATATATATATATATATATTCAGTATTGGACAAAACATTTGCAACCAACATTGCACAATGCTAAAAAGTGTTCCTAATTTAACATGCCTTAAAAATGAAACGAACTATACTACCAGAGCAAACAGTTCAGGAGTCTGGAGTCAAAGCATGCCATGACATAAGCAGCTGACAGGTGACAGCACACAGGCAGAATTTTGTTGACAAGTGCCATTTTGAAGCGAACAAATCAAGTGCAACTTTTTTGGATTATTTTATTTTCTTAAGTCTGGTCCGTGTCAACATCATGGATGTTTTTTAATAATTAAAGGAAGTATCCAGAAGTTTCCAGAAGCATGCAGAAGCTTCCAAAAGTTTCCAGAAGAAGCATCTGGAAGCATCCAGAAACATTCAGAAGCATCCAGACGCATCCAGAAGCTCCCAGAAGCATCGAAAAAAAGCATCTTCCAAAACAGGTTCACACAGTTTTATTTTACTATATAAGAGACATGTAAACCGACATTTAATTCAGTCAGTATATGGAAGTCAATCAGTCAGTATTATCAAGACAGTTTATCGAAGTGAGTTTTATCAAAGTGTTTTATCAAAGAACATCAATACAAGAAGTGAAATACAACAAGTGTTTCATTACATCAATACAGTCCACATCCAACCAAGACGTTGTGTTCCACAGAGCATTATTGTATCATCACAAGGTAAATGTAACACGGTAAGCTTGAGAAGCATGATTATATTTTTATTATTTTTATGACTTCAAGTGCAAAAATGGCTCCCGACAGTCTTGGATTGGAACTAAGAAAGAAAATTATTGGCGATTATGTAAGTGGAATGTCACAAAAAAGTATGTGTGATAAATATTCCGTAAAAAAATGGACCGTATCAAGACTATATTCTAAATGATGGAATAATGGACCGTTTCATGTATAAAAATATCCTGAAAGATGTTATGTTACCTCATGCTGAATGGAATATGCCAATAAAATGGGTTTTTCAGCAAGACAACGATCCGAAACACACTGCAAAAGTAGTCAAGCAGTGGTTTCAAGATAATCACCTATCGATGATGGATTGGCCGCCTCAATCTCAGGATCTTAACACTATCGAGAACCTGTGGGAGATCGTCAACCGCAGAATTAATCATGAAGGTGTTCGTAATAAAGATCAACTGTTTGAACAAATCCAAAAGGCCTGGGCAGCAATTCCACAAAGTTTAATTGATCACCTGATCAAATCTATGCCTCGAAGACGCAAGGATGTGATCGACAACAAAGGATTCGCCACGAAATATTGATAGTGAAATAAAGCTAGATCAACATTTTGTGGAGTTGCACTTGTTTTGGCCAGAAGGAAATCAACTATTTTTAATACTATTGATTAATTTATTAATTTTCATAAACAAATAATGAACTTTGTGATGAATAAAACTTGAAGAACGATGTCTCTAAATAGTTACATAGTTATTTTTCTAAATTGAAAAAATGCAGCACTTTTATATAAAGAAACTAAATTAGCATTATTTGTTTGCACTTGTTTTGTCCGATACTGTATATTATATATACAGGGCCTATTCTAGGAAAAAAATTTAGGCGGCGGTACCCCTCCATCCCAGAGTAATTTAGCGGAAACCTTATCATTATATATATATATATATATATATATATACATATATATATATATATACATACATATATATACATATATATATATATATATATATATATATATATATATATATATATATATATATATATATATATATATATATATATATATATATATATATATGTATATATATATATATATATATATATATACAGCTCCTTGTCGGTAGACAATGAGCTGTAGCAGCCATTCGGTAATAAATTGTAAAACTAGTACTTGCTAGAGTGTTGGTCAATACAATGTTTAAATTAGTTTAGGTTACAAGAGTCAATTATAGTTTGTGGGAGTAAATTCCATCGGTTGACTACTCTGTAAGGAAAGAAATTAAGCCTATTAGATATAGCTCGCATGTTGTTGTTGAGGTCTGAAACAGTAAAAAAAACCTTTAAAGAGACGTTGAGAATGTGGTTGAGTTATTCGGACAGATAGATTGCCAATTTTTGGCTTAAGCCAATAAACATTTTCTAAGTTATTAATAAATTTAAAGTTGTAAGTTGAGGTCGACTTCAAACTGTTAGAGGTCGGCATAAGGCCGGCAAAAAATGTTTTGATAATGATAATGGAACAGAGTTATTTCGTGAAATAACTCTGTTCCATTATCATTCTAAAGGAAAATTTGAATAAAAAAGTTGATCTGAAATTATTTTTAAAATCTTTTTATTTGTTATGCATTTCATTTTTTTCATTTATTCAGTGTTTTATATATTTAATTTCTTTAATAAAAAACAATTTATTTTTAAATAAGATTAACACGCTCCTCCCCTCTTATACTTTTTTATTATTTTTAAACTTTTAAGTAAAATATCAGTAAAAATGTAAATGTTAAAATAATAATAATATAAATAAAAAAAAGATATAATTTTAAAGCAAAACAATATTAGCAATAAAAAATTGCAAAATTTTATACATTCATTTATTCATCCATGTACTTATTCATTTATTCATCCATGTACTTATTCCAATTAAGTTAAAAACCTATAAGAGCAGTTTAAAACATAAAAAGAAAAAAAAAAATTTTAAAATATCTTTTTATTTTTTTTTTTTTTTTAAATATCTTTTCATTTTTTAAATCAAAAGATTTAAAAAATAAAAAGATATTTTAAAAAAAAATTTAAATGCTTTAAGTATTATTAATTTTATTTATTTTATGAACTTTTTTTATGAAAGTTTTTGCCTAACAAAATATATATATTTTTTTTGTTAGTTATGAAAAAAAAAAGTTAAAGTAAAATAGTTTTTTGCATGACAAAATTTTGTTAACAGTTTATTTGTTGTAATTTAGCAAAATTTATTATTTTAGATTCTTTAGGATTTCTTTTGGCGTAAAATTATAATTGTTTTGTAACTGGTTATTTAGTCATTGTTATTATTACTATTTTTATTATTATTATCATTTTTATTTTTATTATTATATTTATTATTATTATTTTTAGCATTGTTATGCAAATATTTCTACACAGTATATAATACAAAATATGCACTGCTATCCCTGAAAGTTAAGAAACATGAAGAACAAGATATAAGTCATGACCATATAAGTATACCATATATATTGCCATATAAATTGGTAGTACACCATATATGTTGCTATGGTGATAGTATAATCATTATGAAAGTAGAAAAAAGATTCATAGTAAAAATAAAATTGATAATAAAAATATAAAGAGTAAAAATAGTAATCAGAATCAAATTAAGTCAAGTGGTGTACACTGGATTTTTAGAAGTTGGGGTTTTGACACTTACAGGCATTGTGCAAACTTCAAACTTTTATATGTTCATGCTTATGTCAAATGAGAATGTTTTGCAAAGAGTTGTGGTGATTGGAGCTTGGGGACAAAATTACCCCAATTTTTGGGCCCACCCAGCCCTTAATGTAAGAGCAACAAGTTTATAAAATCTTTTTAGTATTTTTACCTAAGTTTATATTCATCAACAAATTTCAAATTTCATGCAATAATCTCTTATTTTTCGAAAATTATGACCATATAAAGTTTTAACCCCCCTCAATTTGAGGGGGCTCTAAACTTTGTACAGTCATAAGAACTGTACACTAAGAGATTTTTGCATGAAATTTGAAATTTGTTGATGAAAAATTAAATAAAAATACAAAGAAGATTATTTTACAAACTTGTTGCTCCCACGTTAAGGGCTGGGTGGGTCCGAAAATTGGGGCAATTTTGTCCCCAAGCTCTAATCACCACAATTCTTTGCAAAACATTCTCATTTGACATAATCATGAAGATACAAAAGTTTGAAGTTTGCACAATGCCTGTAAGTGTCAAAACTCAAACATCTAAAAATCCAGTGTACACCACTGCAAGTTAAAATTTTATTTTATTCTGATTTAGATTTAGATAATAAATTAAGTTAAACAGTTTAAAATGTATGATTTGCAAAGTATGTTAAAATTAATGAAATGTTTAAATAAAAACTTTTGGGAGATGAATTTTACAATGTTAGATAATTTTATTTTTTATATTTTTCAAAAATTTTGACAATGCAAATTTTACAACTTTTAGTATGTCTAAAACATTCTAAAGTTGTCAAATTTGCAGATGATTCATTTATATTCTATGGAGATATGATGGAGATATGAGCATCTCTGTTATCTAAAAAATTTCAATGATGATCTTGAAGATTTAAATAAAAATAAATTCATGAACTTAAAAAAAAATGTATTTAGAAACAGCAAATCTGGTTAGCAATATTAGTTATTTTTATCATGAAAACATCAAATTTTTCACAAGTTTTTTTTTAATTAATTTGGTAGTGACCCTTATCAAATATAAATGACAACTTCAAAGTCGAGTTTACGAATCAGCATTACTTAGATTTAATGCATAAAAATCTACATTTGCTTCCCAAATTTGTTTCTTTTGCTTCCCTAAAACTGTGGTAACAGTTTTGAATCTTACCAATGGTAATATGGTTAAATATCCTCTACATAATGTAAACGTCTAAAATTTATTGTTTAGAAAATAAAATGAAAGTGTGTCAGTTCATAAAACAATGATAAAATTTAGAAAATAAAATGAAAGTGTGTCAGTTCATAAAACAATGATAAATTTTAGAAAATAAAATGAAAGTGTGTCAGTTCATAAAACATGCTCTCAAACTTAAAAAATTATTTATTAAAAAACTTTCAACACAAATCTTTAACAAAGGTCAGCATGGTTTTATTTTTATAGATAGGAAACTGTTAAATGAATTCTGAATCATATTAAATCAATTAGGAATTCAATTCAAAAACAATTTAAAAATTTAATAAATAAATGTTTTGTATATTTTTAATTTTACTGTTTTTTAAATTTAATATTATATATAATTTTCACAGGACCTTTATAGAAAGTAGTCTTAAACACTGATAAGGCAATTCTGTAAAAATATTATTAATAATAATGTTAATTTGAGTAATAAAAAAATATATGACTGCCAAGATATTGTTTCACTTGTACAAATTTATTGACCATATTGGTTATATCAAATGCTATGTTTATTACCAGTTTTGTGTTGGTCACCAGTTATTTGTATGCTATCATTTTTTAAAATATATTTTCTAGTAATTGACTCAAAAATACCTGACATATCCACAACACCACATTATGTAACAGAGGAAGAAACCTTAACTACGAAAGTATATTTTTAGTTTGTAATATTTTATTTATTTGTTAAAAACTAAATTGTTTCCATAGTTTATATTTTAGTGTTGTTAATATGTATTATATATTGTAAATATGTGTCATGTATAATTAAATTGGCGATATTTTCAGATCATTTAAATGTAGATTGTTTTTCTTAATAGGCGTTTGATATTTCTTCAGATAAAGTTCATCATAACAGCTCTGTGCAAAGTACAACTATTCCGATTTTTAATGAAACAGTTTCTTTTGTTGAAAATGTTGTTAATGTTTTCAACAAAGTACCTGCTCGCTTAGGTTTCTTTTTGAACAACAACAATAATAATAATAACAATGAACACATTTCTATAGAAAATACGCATGGAAATGATCAAGAGGATGACAAAAAGCCGATAAGATATCAATTAGAAAATAATGAATTCAAAAAAGTAAGTCAGTATGAAGTCATTGAGAATGAATTTCAAAATGTTTCAACTATTACACCGCAACCGATTTTTACTGATACAACTTTTAATAAAGTTATAAGAGATGATGGCGAAAGTGAAAGTGAAAGAGATACAGAACTTGAAAAAAATGCGCAGCAATTTTTAAAGCAGCAAAAAAATCTAAGTTTAGCAAAAAATACAAAAATTATCCGTGGTCAGCCTGCAGAGAGACACTCAAAAAGAGAAAAAAGAGAGAAAGATAAGGAGAATAAAAAAACAATATTAGGCAACAACAATAAAAAAATACCTAACAACATAATAGAAGCTCAAAATGTTTATAACAATAAATCAAATGTTATACTTGAAAACAATAATGCATCAAACTTTGAATTTCAGAAAAATGTTGATTCAGTAAGAAAAAAAGTAGAGTCAAGCAAGACATATAATCCTGTTCAAAAACCAAATTTTGAAAAAAATTCCAAAGGTTTCTATAAATCTGACATCTCTAACTCAGATCTAAATAATGTAAATGATTTTAGAGAATATAAATTCTCTTCTTTAGAGAATATAAATTATACAACTATTATTCCAGATAATATCCACAATCGTGTTATTCCTCGTCAACAAAATCAGTTACAACCCCTAAAGAAATATAATAAAGAAATTTTTTTAAACCCTCAATCTAATGATAGACAATTAAAGCCTCCTAAAATTATAGTTGACAATATTGGAGCTAATGTAGATGATAAAAATGTAGATGAAAAAAATGGAGCTGATGGAGATGATAAAACTGTAGTTAAAAATATTGGAGCCAATGAAGATGATAAAACTCTAGTTACTAATATTGGAGCTAATGGAGATGATAAAACGGCAGTTAACAATATTGGAGCTAAAGGTGACGATAAAACTGTAGTTAACAATATTGAAGCTGACGGAGATGATAAAACTGTTGTTAACAACATTGGAGCTGAAGGAGATGATAAGCAATTTACAGAATACGTAAATATACAAAATGAAAGAGATAAAGTAGTTCATGTCGAAGATAATCAATTACAACCGCCGAATTTAATTAAAACTGAACCAAACATTCAACCGGATGGCAGACCTTTTGTAAGTTTTTAGCTGTTAGTTTTATTTGTTTAAAACAGAGGCCTTAAAATAAACATGTTTTGTAGAAAAATCTTTTTATAGTGTATCACTAATTGTCACATCGATAAATGACGTACTATTTAATAGGGGTGAATTTGAACCACGTATTTTTTCAAACTTTTTTTAATTTAGCAAAAATTGTTTGATGTCAATGTGCAAAAGAAAAATGATGTAAAAAATATAAAAGGTATTTAATCGTTTACATTAATACTAATCGAGATTTTATTTTATTTATTTTGATAACAGTCCCTTTATCTACAGATGTCACTCTAGAAGACGATGAGCATGGCGACCAAAATCTTGATAATGTAAACAAGCCGGATTATCAAGAAGAAAAGCAAATTAAAGCTGACAATGCAAAATTAGATTCAAGTCTAAAAAACCACCAAGGTGAAGGAGTAGAGGGGTTTGAACAAAAACAGGTTATAAACGAAGGACCCCCTGCATTTAATAACGCTGAGAAAGGAGAAGAAGAAAACGAAGAAGAGAATGAAGAAGGCGTTGACGAAAATGAGAATAACAAAGAAAAATGATCAAATAGATAAAATTTAAAAAATTTATTATAAGTTCATTATAATTTTTTTTTTAAATATTTATATAGTTTTTTAAAAATATAAATCTTTAAATTTCGAGTTTCAAAAAGAAATTTAAAGCGTTGAAATAATAATAATATTAAAAACAATTTTTTATCGAATGTTTGATATAAAGTATAATTAAATAATTGATTAGATAATTAAATATTTGATCAAATATAATCGAATAATTGAATAGATCGAATATCGTTTAATCGATAATATTTTAAATATTCGATCGATTAATCGATAATATTTTAAATATTCGATCGATTAATCGATAATATTTTAAATCAGATAATCTAATATTTGATCAGATATAAATGAATAATTGACTAAGTAAATAATTTTGTTTAACTTATTTATAAATTTCAATATAATATTTATTTATACAACTTGTTAAAATTTTAAAACTGATTTTATTTGTAATTTTTAATTTTACAAAACTTACTTTAACTGTTATTTTGTTGTTGTTGTTGTTATTATTGTTTTTGATATTTTTTTCTAATTTAGAAAGTGATTCAGAATAAATATTACCCATATTATAAATAGATCAAAAAAAATATTACCGATAAATGAGTGTTATTGTTTACATTAATTTATTAAATCTATTTTGAGTGTGGCAATGGCCCGGCATAAACAGTTGCTCACAGTGTAAATACTATTTTTTTTAAACTAGATTTTAAATCAAAAAAAGATTTTTCACAAAACACAGTAGAGCAATTCCATGCGCCTCGATGTTTTGCTTTTATCGAGGAAATACAATTTTATAATATTTATCTGTATAAAAAATATTTAAAATTTATATAATTTTGGTAAAAAAATATATGCTCTTTAAAATAATTTTTTATTTTTTTTTTTACTTTTTGTTTTACAAGTTCACATACAATTTTTTTCAGCAAATTCAAGAGCGTCACGGCGTGACAAATCGATGTCACGCTGTGTCGCGCGTGTTGGGAATCGTCCATAAATTACGTCACGCATTTTTTGACAGATTTTGACCTCATCCCCTCCCCCTCGTCACAAAATCGTAACACTTAAGAAGCAAGTTTTGTATGAGTCGTCACAAAACTACCAACCCCACCCTACCCCTTATAGCGTGACGTAATTTATCGACGACTCCTTGTGAGCTATATCTGTAAAAATATAAAATAAAATAATGAAGAGTTTAGTTTTTATAATACAGTTAGGCTATTTCAATATTATGAGAAATTTTTTATTTTAAAAATCTTAGTACCGAAAACTTGTTTTCTCAATTAAAAACGCATTAACGCGTGTCATGGAATTGCTCAGTACCACTTTTTAAAGATTCAGCTACGCCTCTGTTTATGTATCAGAATTGTAAAAGTGTGGTTACTTAGTTTGGTTATTGCAGAGCGATGCCGCGTAAACTTATTGCTACTAATTAAAACCAAGAACTAAAAAATTTAATTCGTAATAGTCCTGGTAACAATACTTATCAAAACTTTTTCATATGACTTTCTCGCCCTCTTTAAGCCGCATAAATTATTTTTAACTAAGAAATCCCGTGCTAAGTAATTAAAAAAAGTCAAAAAAAAATCCCATCCATTTGGAGAGGAGGTGGTAATTTTTTACATGTTTTAAACTTTAAAAGATTTATGATAAAAATTGAAATCTGATGATAAGTTTTGAAAAGTTAGTCATCATGAACACAGAAAAATCTTGGATAACACAGATATATTAAATTTAAAAAAAACAGGTCATGGTAATTTTTTTTGACAATTTCTATATATTTATTATTATATTACTATTATCATTTTATTATTTCTTCTTTTTATCATCCAAATTACAGTTAAAAACAAAACAAATAAAAAGTAGGGTAGAGCGGGGCTAGTTGAGCATTGGGGCAAGTTGGGCAATTAAAATATTTAAAGAATTACGTATCAAACGACAAAATATCTAATTGATGAAAGTTAAATGACGCTTTCTTACTATTTTCTTCACTTTTGATATTTACGTCATTAAAGTAGATAGAATAAAAAGTTTATGAATTAAGCTTACTGTTAGTGAAAGTTTTATCGTATCATGCATATTCATTTATTTGTTGATTGCTCAACTTACCCTACACTATTGCTCAACTTACCCCGCTGGGACAGATTGATCAGCTCCGCAAACTTTATCTTTTTAAAAAAATTAAAAAGTATAATTTTTTTACCACAAATTTTTAGCAAGTTAAGTGATTTTTCAAATAGAGAAAAAATTATGTAAATCCAACGCACCATTTATGAGATCTGTTAGATTTAGTAAAAATTGCTCTACTAGCCCAGCTCTACCCGATATGAAACTAATAGTTCATACAATTAGTCTAAAGTTTAATTTAGACTTTTTTGGGAATATCGTCTATCCAATTTTTAAATATGATTGTTTGTTCTTTGATATTCCAGAATTCGAAGGACTTGTCAAGAGTTGCCGCTACTTTATCTTCTATGTCAGCATTTGGACGCTTGACAATGATTTTTTGACTGTCTATCAAACACTGTGCGAAGTTTAGCTTCAATCGGTTGCAAATTTACATTACTTTGTTGATAAAGTGGTTAAACTTATTAATCTTTGACATTCAAGTCGAAATAAGGGAGAAACAAATCGGATTGCTCATTAGTCAGACAAACAGATTTAATTCGTTTCGAATGAGAATGGTAGACATGTCATCAATTTAAAGAAGGAATATAGATAGTAGGAATTTTAATGCTGATCTTCCGACAGCATCAAATTTATTTAAAAAAGTATTGTTATAATTACAAATTTCTGAGCCGTACGAAAGGTTCGGTACAGCCAGTGATTTGACCAAATGCACTATAGTCAGTGGCTGATAAAAACGAATTCCAGGTTTTAAAAGAGCTCTGGAGACTGACTGAAATTAAATAATACGTTCGTTTACGTTTGCTGTTTGGAGAGTAGCAATAATCTGTAAGCAATAATGTGAACACTTACTGTTGTAAGCAATAATGTGAACACTTACTGTTGTAAGCAATAATGTGAACACTTACTGTTGTAAGCAATAATGTGAACACTTACTGTTGTAAGCAATAATGTGAACACTTACTGTTGTAAGCAATAATGTGAACACTTACTGTTGTAAGCAATAATGTGAACACTTACTGTTGTTCCAATTTTACATTCTGAAACAATTTGAATTAATATACTTTCAGTATAGATATTGTACAAATGTGGAGATGAAATGAACCCTTGTCGTACGCTTTGAGACAAACAGAAATGATTTAATTCATATCTAAGGTATGATGCAGTACCTGAGCGGAATAATGATTGTAGTACGCAAACTGCTAATAGCGGTAAATTTTTGTTGTAATAAAGTTTTTTAAACAACATAAACTACAGATATATACTGATGAGTTACTATATTGTAGTGTTTTATTATTTCACTCAAAGGAATCTTTCACGAAATGTTGAGTTTTTTTGCTTGAAACCAAATTGATGAGAGTGGCTATCTGATGTTTTTTCGGATATACTTGAGTTATAATATATTTGAAAAGCCTTTTCAAAATAGGTATGATACTAATTCCGTGATAGTTATCGGATTATCAAGAGATTTTTTATAAGTGTTGACTATTGGAATAATAATGGAAATTGATAAGTACTCTGGGACCGCTCCATTATTAAAGATATTATAAAACTGTGAAAGCCATGTTAGGAGGTCGTTGTTAAAAGAGTATTTAAAATGCTCTGCAAAAACTTTACAGGAATCATGCGATCTATTAGGCTTAAAAATACAAGCTTCGATGTCGAAATTTTTTAAGACTATTTGATTAGCCTCATTTATGAGTTGTGGAGTATGACGGTGTTTATAAATGTTGATAGTAAATGTGGCAGTGTTGAGAGTCGTATTAAAGTTTTGTCAAAATTCTTCTATAACTTCTTTTCTTACTTTTTATTTATAGTGAAAATATATTTAAAGTTGATTTAATTCTTCAGATATTGTTCCAAAATTTTTGAGGATTAGTTTTCGAAAGGTATTCAATATTTTTGGGTTTGATTGATTTTTAAGTTATGAGCTGCTATTACATTTTTACGGAAATTTTTACGTACAAGTTTTAATTTATTAAATAAAATGCATTCCTACGATCTGCTGTAGTTAGATTTTTTCTATTCTTTAAATTGGAAGGAAAGAATGTCTTTGCTCAATTTGACTTCTGGTGTCCTATATGATTTTGAGTAAACGTCATAAATAATTACATGTTTTAGTTATAATTAATATTATAAAGACTGTAATGCAATCTCAAATAGTACTTTTATAAAAATACAAAAAAATTCAGAAAATTATATTTTTTAGTGATCATATAGAGTACCAAAAGAGATCTTTTTTTTTTAAAAAAAACAAGCTCAATATAAATTGGAGGCAGCTTAAAATAGTTAGCTTTTAAGTGCTGCAAACATGTTAAGGTAAAAAATAAATAAATAGCTAGATGTTTTTGACGGTAAAAAAACTGCGTCTAAGATCTAAAAAGACATTGTGTTGCTAGTCAAAATTTAGAGGACCATTTTGAAAAGCAAAAAAATTATCTTTAATTTAAGACTTTATTTCAAAATATTTTAAGACTGAGGAAAAACTGTACAGCACATAGGTTTAGATGAATGAAGGCAAAAGAGATATTGGGTAAATATGCTTTTAGGAGTCATTAACTATTTTTAGACTGTTAATCCAAATATTTCATACGCCAATAACTTATTACTTAATAAATTTTTTTTTTAAATACAACCACATTATAAAAGACTTAAATAAACAACGTTACTCGTAAAACATATAAAATTATTATTTAAAATATAAATTAAACAACTCAATGACTAAATCTTTTTCTTTTTCGACTTGGATTCGTAAACAAAACCATATTATTTAGGCTTATTTTCCAAAATTAAATAGATACTTTCAAACCAATTAAGTCTTTTCTCTTCAGAGGAATACAATTTAGCTGTTGATAAAGCTTTGGAAAGAAACTCTTTTGCCTAGAAAAAGTTTTAAATTAAAATGTCTTTATTTTAATAAATATAAAATTTTTATTTAAAATTCGCTTTAAAATTTCATTTTAATAAAAAAAATATAAAAAAGAATTTTAAATTAAAACGATTTCATTTTAAATTATAAATTAAAAGCAACAGTAAAAAATATACCTTAAAGTAACTAAAATATAATATACCTTCACAAAATTCTCTAAAATTGTGTAAAGCATCGCAAGAGTAAATAAATTTTTTGTGAGCTCTTTCAAAAATGGAGGTTTCTGGTTTTCGTGAAGATCTAGAATTGTATGTAAAATTTTGACTGCCTCTGCACCTTGTACTTCATCTGAAACAATGTTTAAAGTGTAATTTAAAAACAATAATTAACATAATTAACAATAATTAAAACAATAATAACATATTAGTTGCTCAATGGCGATTCAGTTGTAAATTACATGTACATTCATTCAACTTTTAACACAACTCACTTTACACTCATTACATTTTATGTAACAGAATGAATGAATAATAGAATGAATGTTGTACTCTCAAGAATCTTGTACACTCTACATTTACGCACGTGATCTTACACAAACTCACGATTGTACACAAGTTTTTCTCTATTAAAAAAGACAAACCAAATTATTTTCAGTAGCCATATTAAATAGTGAAAAACATAATACGTCAATAACACGTTTCAACCATCTTACCACAGCTTCTAAAATAATCAACCTAACCATTTAGTTATAATTAGCGATTACAAATCTGGTATAAATTTTTATTACTGGTATTTTTGGCATTAATTTTTGAAAATTATTAAACCAGTTTTAAACAGTTTTTTTTTTGAAACTAGAATAAAAAAAAACTAAATTTTTACTAGAACTCTTACTAGATTTAAGGAAACAATGATTTTTTGGTTAAACTCGTTGTGTAAACGATCGTAGCTAAATAAGGTCAAAATATTGTAGGCCTATCATACTTTTTAATGAATGCCAAAAAGCATGCTTTTAAACATTCTTTTATATACTAATCCAAACTCAAAATCTTACAAGTTATAAGTTACATTTATACCTATAGAAGCAGATTGATTTCCATAACAGGAATTAGGGGGGAAATTTCTTTGTTTGATTATACTTGGATTTGTTGGCTACCTTTTGGCTGATAAAAATATTTCTGGCCTTACAATTGTGAAAATTGTTTTTTTTTATAACATGTTTCATCATCATTATGCACATATTTTCTTGGTTAAGAAATTTACATAGTTTTTTGAAAAACGACCCAATAACTTCAGTTTCTCCATCAATGGATCATTTTAAAGTTTTCTTTTTATGATACTTTATGATATGCTTTAAATTTTTAAGGTTTAAGTAAATTTTCAATCAAAGCTTGTTGCATTTCAACTTTCTTGTAAGATCTCTCTGCAACTGACATGGGTTTTCCTCTATGAAATAAATGATTGATTTTATTTATTGATAATTCTCAGTGCATCACTGCAAAATAAATCTTACTAAAGATTGGGTAACATTGGTTGAAAATATGACAATGTCAACTTGTGACAAAAAAAATATATAATATATATATATATATATATATATATATATATATATATATATATATATATATATATATATATATATATATATATATATATATATATAATATATATATATATATATATTATATATTATATATATATATATATATATATATATATATATATAATATATATATATATATATATATATATATATATATATATATATATATATATTTGAAAATATGACAATGTCAACTTGTGACAAAAAAAATATATAATATATATATATATATATATATATATATATATATATATATATATATATATATATATATATATATATATATATATATATATATATATATATATATATATATATATATATATATATATATATATATATATATATATATATATATATATATATATATATATATATAACCAAGTCAAAGACTTGCTTTTATTCCTTGAATAAGTTTGAAGTAATATTTTTGACGTTTCAAGTCTAATGGTTAAAAATCTAGCAGCAATTTTTCAAAAAGAAGTAGTTGCTCTTAAAAATTTAACAGTTAAAACCTCTTTGAAAACTTACATCCAGTTTAAATTAGTCATATATCCCAAAGTAAAACGTTCAGAATTTAAGATTTTTGCTGTACCACCATCTTGCAGTATAGCAAAAATCTTAAATTCTGGCTTCACTTTTTAACTCAAGCCACGCATCTAGTTATGTTTAATTGTCATTGGTTGTTACTATTTTATCTCAGAGAAAATTTAAATAGCAAATCAAAAAGCTACACACACACAAAAAAAAAAAAGATGCTCCAAATAACTTGCTGCTTATAAGTTATACAAGAGAAATTTGGGTTATTAAACTCTTCTTCCAGCCAACAATAGTGACTTTGAAATCGACTGCGGCTGAATATAATGTTCGATTGGTGGTTTAGTAGCTGCTAATAACACAAAGTGGCGGCTGTAAAAAGTAGGTACAAGTGGTGGCTTCTTGCTAATGGCGGCAGCTTTGACCTCTAGTAATTAAAGAGTGCTGAAATTCTGTACAACATTTAAACTATTAATGTTTAAAATAAAATAATAATAAACTCGAAAAAAAATTTGGTCTGCGATACTAGAAATAAGCCAGTGTGATAAGCATTTAAGTCATCAAAAAAATGAAGATGGATAATGAGAAAGGACTCTGTCAATTTTATCAGAATTAACATCAAAAAGAGTGAAGTTTTGGGAATAAGGAGAACAATAAAGAACAAAGAGAAAGGTGATTGAATGATGTGGTGTTAAGCAACAGCAAATAAATAAATTGAGCAAAGACAAATAAGTAAATTGATAACTTATGTAACATAAGTATATATACTTAGGTCAAACATGGAACAAGTTTCAATGACTTAAAGTTTAATAGCTATTACCTCCATAATCCAAAAATAAAATAGATATTATCTCCAAATAAAATAGTTAAATTTAATTTAGAATGGAAAATTATTTTTTAAAACAATTTTTTTATTTCACCTTACGCCATTCAATATTGATTTTCCACCATTTTCCTGTTTATAGTTTTCTACTGATATTGTTTTATGAAAACTCTAACATTTGATTTCAAAATTTAATTTTTGAATTTATTGAATATGGATTTTCTATATAAAATTTCAAAACATTTTAAAAATTTTCATACTTTTTATTTAGCATTCACAAAAAAATCAGATGTAAACAAAACTATCAACTGTAAAACACCCACACATAAAAAACTACTTATGTATGCAACACCTTAAAAAAAATTATCAGAATTGATTATGTAGCGTTTATGTATACTATTTTTTTTTATTACCATTAACATTTTACTGTTAGAAGATGAAAAAAATGACATATGTATACATATATATAAAGTTTACATTAATAGAGTTTTATTAACAGTTTATTAACATTTTTATTATTTTAATAACTTTAACATTTTTATTGTTCTTTATGAAACTAGAAAATGTGTAAAAACAATTATAAATTTATATATTATAATTGTATATAAAGATATCTTTATTAAATATCTCGCATTTAAGTCCAAATTCAAGTGACACTCTATACAGTAAAACTCTGTACTACCAGAGATGGAGGGGATTAATTTATTTCCATGTGGGGGCCCATCATAAGAATAAAATTAGTTTTTTAAAGCAATGTAACTATGCCACCAGAAATAACTGCTTAGGGTAACACCTTAAACTTAACATTCAAAACAAAAAGCCATTGCACACTGTACTGCTTCACAAACTATTTTATAAAATATCTAACTTAATGAACTACATGAACATTAATTCAGTATTCGACATCAAAAAATCCGTAACAAAATTTAGAAATTTGTCTTCATTGTAAAGAATTTTACTTTATCTAACACTTTTCCCAACACTTTATCTAACAAAACTAATATTAAATTATAAAATAAATATTAAAACAAACAAAAACAACCTAGAAAACAATTATCTTCATTAGAATTATCTATAAGTTTCTTTTGAGGAAGATTTGCAGCTTCAACAGAAAGCTGTTCAACCATTTTAAAAAGAGTATCATTCCACATAGAAGTCAGCTAAAAGCAAATAAAATTTTTTTATTCATAAATGAATAAACTGCGTTAAATCTAGATGTATAAAATTTTAAAATTGTCTTGAATAACATATTTTTAATTATGTTTAGCAAAGTATTTCATACCCATAATATACATATACCATCATATACATATACCCATCAAAAATAATTTATTTAAAATTAAAATTTTTTAGCCTAAGAAACAACTATTAAAAAAAATGTGCTTAATTATTAACAAAATGAAAATGACATTAACAAAATTAGGCTTTCAGTAGCAAAAGCCTTTTCAAGTAAATTTATATTTAGATTATAATTTTATTACATATTTATAAAATTTATTTTGATTTTAATATTTTAGTTCATTTAAGTTTACTTTCTCCCCACCTATCCACCTCCCCATCTATCCACCTCCCCACCTATCCACCTATCCACCCAACACTAGACTATATTAAACTAAGACTAGAGTAAAGAAATGGTTTTCTTTTTTCTTATTTCAAGCATTGCATCTTTTTTTCTACGTGAAATAGGAAATTAGATAACCCATTAAACGAGCCCATTGCAGAAGTAATATACATTTGCCATGGATTGGTCACAATTAAATACTGCACTTTGAAAATAAATTAGATTTTAATACCATGTTTTCAAAATAAAATGTTTTTTAGAGTAGAAAAAAATAGGGTTATACTTCACTTAGCATGTCTAAGGGTTATATATTGCTTAGCATGTCTGTTAGGTCCTTATAAACTAAAAATAAACCACACAACTTCTACATTTTTTTAAAATGGCACATATTGCATTTCGAAAATAAATTTCATATATATATATATATATATATATATATATATATATATATATATATATATATATATATATATATATTTGCATTCACTCCCAACAAGGCTGCAAGCAACCAATATGAAGTTGGGAGTTACTAGGAAAAAAAAGAACAGAGTTATAGAGCAAGGAAACGGTTGACAGAAGACTTGAAAAGTTGAAGGTTGTATGAGTTAGGAAAACATGAAAATGGGAGAGAGTTCCAAAGGATTGAAGTGCGGGGAAAAAAACTAGATGAATAAAAGTTTTTAGAGCATGCAGGGACAGATACAGTAAACGAATGAGACTTAGCTGAATGACGAGTAAAATGAGAATGAATTTTAGTTGATGGAACTAGAGATGATAACTCCTTTGAGCAGTGACCATGATAGTATTTGTAAAAGAGAGAAAGAGATGCAACTTTACGACGATGGGAAAGAGGCTCAAGCTTAGCAGATAGTCCAGGTCCAACAACATTTACAATGCGTTTTTGGACCTTGTCAAGAAGAGAAAGTGAATCGTTAGAAGGACTAGCCCAAATATGACAACAGTATTCCATACAGGGACGAATAAGAGATTTGTAGAGGTAGAGAATGGAATCAGAAGTAAGGAAATAGTGAGCACGATAAAGAGAAGCAACCTTAGCAGAAGCTAATTTAGCAATCGATTGTATATATGGTTTCCATGAAAGGTCAGTAGTAAGCGATAATCCAAGAAGACGTAAAGAGGAGGACTTAGTAAGAGGATTGCCATTCATTAATAAAGGAATGTTGACCATATTACGGTAGTTGTTTGCAGTAAACAACTGGGTTTTGTTAGAGTTGAAATTCACAAGCCACTGTGAACCCCAATCTATTACTGAAGTGAGATCGGATTCAAGATCAGCTGCTTGTTCTAGGCGATCGAAAAGAGAAGACTTTTTGTCAAGACAGGAGTATAAAGTTGAGTCATCAGCAAAAAGAGCTACTTTAGATGAAAGGTTGTCAGGAAGATCGTTTATGTAGATAAGAAACAAAACAGGGCCCAGGATGGAACCTTGGGGAACCCCAGAAGTTACTGGAAATAAAGAAGAGTGTTGGCCTTCAAGGATGACTTTAATAAACCGGTTAGAAAGAAATGATTTAATAATCTCAAAAACTTTCCCAAAAACACCACATGAAGCAAGCTTATGGAGAAGACCAGCATGCCAAACTTTGTCGAAAGCTTTACATATGTCGAGAGCAATAGCTCTAGCCTCACCGCCTCCATCTAATGCATGATAAAATCTTTCAGTTACAGCAGTTAGCAAGTCGGCCGTAGAGCGAGAGGATCGAAAACCGTATTGATTGTCTGACAGCAGTTTATTTGACTCAAGATGAGATGTGAGGAATTTGTTGATCAAAGACTCAAAAAACTTGCTAATAACAGAAAGAAGACTGATCGGATGATAATTGGAGGGGTCAGAATTTTCTCCAGAGTTTTTGAATATTAGAACCACAGATGCCATTTTCCAATTTGTTTTCCAAGCAGGAAAACAAGACTCAGTCAAACACTTGTTAAATAGTTTAGAGAGAATTGAAGAAAGTTCTGGAGAACAATTCTGCAAGACTGTGACAGGAATGTTGTCTGGACCACAATCTGTAGACGAGTTTTATTGAGATATGACTTTAGCAACAGAAGCCGGAGTGATTTGAATGTCTAATAATGGGTCAACCTGTTTGACTGGAATGGAAGGAAGAGAATGTCCATAAGATTCAAGAGTGGAATTAGAAGATAAGTTCTTTCCAAATAGTTCTGCCTTATCCTTGGGAGAGGTAATAAGATCAGTCCCATGAATGAGTGATGGAATGTTAGATCTACCCTTGTTAATAATGCTGTTGAAGATTTTCCAAAAGTCTTTAGAGCCTAATTTCTGTGATAAGATGCGAGATTTAGTGAACTGAGAATAATGGAGTTTAGCATCAGAAAGCACCTTTTTACATCGATTTCTTGCAATAATAAATAGCTGTTTGCTCTCAAGAGAGTTGTTCTTTTGAAAAAGATGAAAAAAATGATTACGATTGGATATAGCAGCCGCACAAGAAGGAGAAAACCATGGAGTAGAATGAGGCTTGACTTGAAACTGACGCGAAGGAATAAAAGCTTCCATTCCAGCCTGAATCCAGGAGGTTATGTAGGAGGCGCATTTGTCAGCTGAGAGAGAAAAAACATCAGCCCAAGGACCATCACGAAGAAAATCACGAAAGGAATCCCAGTCAGCTTTAGGTAGTAGGTGGTGCGATGATAAGGTGAGCCCAAAAAAGAAATACGAGAAGAAAGATTTATAGAGATCATTGCATGGTCAGAACCACCTAAGGGAGAAAAGGGAGAAACTGAACATAAGCTAGGGTCAGAGACAAGACATAAGTCAAGGAGTGAAGGTAAATGATTAGGGTTGTCAGGAAAACGAGTCACAAAGTTAACTATCTGAGTAAGAGATTGAGAAATGCAGTTAAAGGCTTTAGTGCCAGCAGGATCAGTGGTGTTATAGCCAAGCCGTTCGGTGTGATGGGCATTAAAATCACCAACAACAACAATATTAGCAGAGGGGTAAAGAGAGAGGGCATGGTCAATTTGATCAGAGATAACATCTAAAAGAGTGCAATCATGGGAAGAAGGAGAACGATAAAGAACAAAGAGAAAGGTGATAGAGTGAAGAGGTGCTAGGCGAAAGCACATAAAAGAATGGTCAAAGGATTCGAACCTGATTTCACGACAAATAGGGGAACTAATGCGTATGTATACCCCTAAACCTAGCATGTGACTATTGGAGTCTTTACGAATCAAAGGATAGTACCCATCAACACTGACATCTGAAGAATGGATTGCAGAATTTAAATTTGTTTCACTGAGTGCAAGCAAGTCTGGTGAATTTTGCAGGAGGTAAGACTCAATTGACGGAAAGTTGCTTCGTAGACTGCGAATATTTGTAAAAGATATATTAAAACATTTAGGTGGTGGGGATGGTTTTTTAGGTTTAAATTTTTGATTACTTTGGTCATGATTTGGGTTTAATGAGAACTTGACTCATTCATAGATAGAGCACAGCCTCCTAATCAATGAGCTATGCAGTTGTCTCAGTTCTGTTAATTAACCCTAAGACATAGGGCTCCTTATGTGGCCTTGAAAATGCACACCAAAAGCATTAACAGGGACACCATCCATTCGCAACATGGCACTGTTAATACTCTGATTTTTGCAGGTGTTGATGGAATCAGCCTCTCTGAGAGCTACCACAGAGTTCGGGAAACCTTACTACCAGCCGGCCTCAGAACCATTAAACTGAGTTTTAGAGCTTTACCCTCATATGGAGATAACAGGAAGAGTAGCATAGCCATTATCAAGGAGGCATAAGCAAAATTCTATAAGTAGAGTAAAGGAGATCCAGCATTCATCATCCTAGGCAGGAAACAATGTAACACAGGTTATATCTACGCCAGCCTAATAGATGAAGAAGGGGTTTGAGGTTAGCAGAATATATATGTTTAGGCTGGTTAGCAGAATATATATATATATATATATATATATATATATATATATATATATATATATATATATATATATATATATATATATATAATATATATATATATATATATATATATATACATTATATACAATTATATTTTTGTTTCATGAATTAGTTTAAACTTTTTAAAAATTTAACTAATAATTTGTAAACAACATTTACTGAAATTTTTTTATTTTTAAAAATTAAAATACATACTTGACCATATAGAGAATAGGCTGTTTCTCGTTTATTTTGTTGGTAAAAAACATTTGCCATATGAAAATAACCTCCTGAAGTTCGAATGTTATTTGTTCCAAATGCAAGTGATGAGTAGTATATCTTTAATATCAAAATTACAATATTTAATAACAATAATGTATTACAATATATAGTAACAATAATACATTACAATATGTAATAACAATTATTTATTACAATATGTAATAATTTCAATATGTACTTTATCTACTTTAACTATTCTCATATAATAATCATTTTGCAGGTATCAAGAAAGGTTTGCTCTGAAAAAAAAAAAAAACTCAACAAAATTGAGGTGATTGGGATGTTTGTGCTAATAAGCTAATTTTTGTAGCTATTCTTTTTTGTGAAGGCATTTTTAAAATTAACACTAAAAATAGAATATAATTTACATCTTGAGCAAAGTGATGTAATGCTTCAGTATGCTTTTTTTGTGTTGCAAACAGCATTCCAAAATTTCGATGCATTCTTGATTTGATGCTATTGTCGCAAAATGAATTCTTAAGAATTATCCACTGCGCTTGATGTAAGTACTCATCAGCTTGTAGTAAACGTAATAAACCTGAATTATTTTGAAAATTTTAGTAAAAATTATAGTAATGCAGACTAAAATTAAAAATAATTTTACCTTTGCAATAACTATTTATAAATTCATTTATAACAATCATAACTACATAAAAAATTACAATTGTTTATTTTAGCCCAGTATAAGGGTTTATAGATTTGCCAAACATAAACTGTATAAATACAATATTTGCTATTCACATAGTATTCACAGAATCAAGATTTGACTTACAAAGTGGAATATTTGTCACACAGAGAGAGACCATAATTATAGGGGATCATTTACCATAATTATGATCCAAAATTTCTATTAAATTAGGATTCAAAATTTTTGCTGATAAAGAATTTTTAGGTATCATTATCATGATCCACTATTTTGGGCACTCAAAAATTTTTTTTATAAACACAGAGGTATTATGTGGTCTGGGTTTTTTTATAAACACAGAGATATTATGTGGTCTGGGTAATATGAGCACTTTCGCAAAAGCTGCAAAAATGCTCACATTACCCAGACCACATAATACTGCCCTCGGAATTGGCAATGCCAACCTGACTGCCAAACTAGAAGTGTTTAAGGTTTAATCTCATTTCTACGTTTAATGGTAAAACTTTGTATCAATTTTTTTTTGCCAACCTATATCAGATTAAGGTCGGAAAATTTTTGCCGACTTCAATTTTCCTAATTTCAATGGGCTGATGGTAATATGAGCACTTTAAATTAGCTTAAAAAAATAACATTATGTAAATAAATACCAACCTGACAATTAGAACTAATTTGTGGAATATAATATTAATGGAATATTATCATTAAATTTTAAGCCACTTTTTATTGGAAGAATACGACTTTGTTTTAATGCAAAAAAAAAAAATTTACCTAATTTGTTATTTTCAATTTTTATTAACTTAAACTTTTGAACAAAAATTATTAGAATTTTTTGAAATTAAAATACAGAAAAAGATTTGGTATTGTTTTAGTATTATATTTTTTTACTGCTTTGATTTTATTCAAAAAGCAATTAAAACCACTGCAATTTTAGGACTTCAAACTAGGTAATTTCAATAAAAAACACTGTTTAATTTGAGCATGCTAATACACAAAAATGGTATTCTATCATTGTTTTCCAATCAAAAATGAAACAGATTTAATAAATGAATTAAATACCTAAAAATATTTAACAAAAAAAAAATTATTTTCAACAAATTGTTTTAATTTAATGATGGTTTTTATGAATATGTATTTTTTACAAATAGTTGTGGTCTTTAAAGTATCTTTTTAATCAGACTTTTTGTAGTAATAATTTAAATTTATACATAATAACATAAAAGCTTTTTTTTTGTTTGTTTTGAACCTTTTTTATTGCTTTATCATTCTTCTAAACTACTTTTTTTTTTTACTTTTTTTTTTTTGATGTTATTACTGATTAAATTGAATAAGCTCTATCTCATCATCCTACATCTAATATTATGTTATTAGTGTTATTAATGCTTTTATTGACTGGGCTCTAGTACCCAGCTCTAAAAATTAAAATATTATTTACTTATTCAGATAATTAACTTGTTTCAGCCCGGATTACTTACTTATGACAACCTGAGTCACTTACTTTTACTCCTTGATTTGTATCTTTTCTCTGATCCAACTTTGATCTTAGTTTTTCCTTGTTTTTTCTTTAGTGAACCAGATTATGCTATGATCTTACTGAAACATTTCTAAATCAGATTCAAGCGATCATCACACTTCTTATTAAAACCTTGAAATTAGCTGGAATTCTTTTTGTGATTTATTTTGTGCTGCTAGTTTTTGTTTCTTTTCCAAAAATTTCCTTTTTAATCTTCTGAATTCAAACAGGTATGAAAGTGTACCTTTTTGTTGATGTCAGCAGGGCATGAAAGCATTCCTTTTTGTTGATGTCAAGCCTCACTATACATCATAGCTTTTTTTTTTTTTTGTAGAATTGCTATTTCCAATTCATAATGATTTTATTTTTTTAATGAGAACAAATCTCAGAAGAACAAACCTCTTTTTAAATTTGCAACTAATCCATGCAAAAAGGTATTCTTAAAAGCTAAAATCCATTATTCTCCTCCATAAATGATTATATATGATTTATTCAGGAAAGTTTTCAAAGTTATTGAATCGTTCTTTACTGACTGCAGTATAATAATATTTTTCGAACACGATCACCACCATGCCCCTGGCAGTACCATGCGCAAGTTATTTCTCTGCGCAGAGACCTTGTTTGTCAAAGTTCGTGTTTCAGAGTTACAGAGTTGATAGAGTGTTGTAACCACATTAAAGTAGCCTCTTTGACTGTAGTGGCCCTTTTGGCCTTGAGTAGGTGAATAGCATTAAAAAAATGATAAA